GCGCGCGCATTTCTAAGTAACTCTTAGCTTCTAAGCCGATCACTTTATCGTTCCGACGTGTCGCAGGGGTTGGACCAAATATCCGGCGATATATCGCGTTAAACCGCGGACGCGGTATCGGCGTTATTTCCACAATCCACGTCGGCTCGGCCGGCACGGCCACGCGCAGCATTAAGAACTTTCCTAATCGCGTGTACCGCCACCATTACCACCGCCACCACCGCCGCCACCGCCATCATCAGCAGCACCGCCGCCACCACCGCCGCCGCCGCCGCCGCCGCCGCCGCCGCCGCCGCCGCCGCCGCCATCACCAGCAGCAGCCGTGGAAATCCCGCGTAGCGTGATATTTCGTTATCACTGGCGGACCAGCGCTCCGCGATTTCTCCGTTAGCGCAGGACCACTTGATTATGTTAAGCCCGACGGCATAGCGTTTGGTCATGCATGCTCGAGGCGTGCACTTTACGGCGGACTTGACCAAGTTGGCGAGAGCGCCCAAGGTGAAGAGTAATAGACAGGAGGTCGACGAGAGTTATGCACGAGCTACGAGGGATAGTGAAGTGTAATAGTACGTGCGCGCGAGAGCGTAATAACATTATACTGCTAACTAACTAACTTTGCCGATGCAGTGCCTACTCACATCGTAGTCGCGTCCTCGGAGCCGTTCGGAAGGCGAACAAGTGCGCGAAAATGTAGCGCAACGGCCGCAAGTTAGGGCCGTGACCGGGGAAAAAAGCGCGCTGGCTGAGGCGGACGGGGAAAATCTCGCCGCGAACGTACAATAACGCGATAAATTCGGCCCGTTAATTCGCCCGGCGAATTACAGAGCGACGCGCGCCGAGGTCGCGTTCGATTAACGGCGTTACGGTTAACGCGTGCGGATGAAAAAAAAAAACAAAAAGAGAAACATGTAACTCGTGAAAAATCCCCTTCACGACACGACGTTAACGACGGTGGACGTTAACGGCCGTTATACGTGAAATTGTTCCGCGTGAAATATTCAGATTCAGAGTTTAGAGATGGATCTGAATTTTTCAGTTGGGTCGCATGTGCGGCACAATATACTCGCGCGATAGCGACTCCACCGGAAAAACATCCAATTCTAAATTCAAATCGAGCGTCTCTTGTGCCGCCTGAAACGAATTTCGCGCGGCAACTATAAACATTCGCCTGAAATTCGGATCGGTGCGTCTCGCGTGAGACAAATTCCAAACGACGATCGCTGATAACGTCGCGCGGCAACGCAACTGCGACACGTCACGGATATCAGTAACGAGCGCGCTCAGACTCCGACTATAATAAAGTCAGATCTGAGAGTATCTCACGCGAGACAAGTTTCAAGTAACGGCTATTAATACGGGCTACGCTCGTTGGGGCGCGAGTCGCGCGTGAGATACGACGCACGCCTTGCCCTTTCAACAATGGTTCGATTGAGCGAGAGAAAGCGATGCGTAAAGGTACGATAAGATTCGCCGGGCAGGTAATCACAATAGACGACGACGACGACGACGACGACGACGACGGCGGCGGCGGCGGCGGTGGTGGTGGTGATGGCGCGATAGAACGTCATTTATTTGCAGCGCTGCGCTTGACACGTTCGTTTAAACGATCTCGCAAAACGCCTCTCGAGAGCAATCAAAGTGTAATAGAATGTTCCCGATAAATTACGCACGTCCTGCGCGTTGTCGCGCCACTCCCCCATGTAATGTTCGCATAATATCGGTGCGGCCGAATAAAAACGGTTGTTTCGTCGTCCCGCTGCGCCGACGTCACACACAACGCCACATGGTCGACGATTATAATTTATAAACGTAATTTCGCGCGTACGATAATTTGCCGCGAAAGTGTTGTCGCTCGGGATCATCGCGGCGTTGCCGCCGAATATCGAGAGAGCGAGTATCATCGTCGGGCCGAGGTATTAATCGATCCCGCCCTCGCACGGTTTTCTTCGTTTTGTCATCTCGTCGCGCGCTCTCTCCCTCTCTTCCCCCTCGCCTCTCTTCCCACACTTCAGCCGTCGATCAGGATAAAATCGCCGCTCGAGTAAATTCGGACTCGTCCCCGCGTTAATCGTCCCCGAATTTGCAAGCGCGGCTAACTCGCGTTAACCGGCCTTTAATCCGCCGACCCGGTTCGAAAGTTCCGTGTGTTTTATTCAAAGTGCGCCGCGCCTGCGTTTGGCAGCGGTTTGGCGGCAGCGACGATGCCGGCGCGGCCGTGGCGGCGGCGGGCTCGTTCATCATACGTCAGGCCACGATAATCGAGTATTTTCCAGAGCGATTAAATTGTCAACAGTTGCCCGAGTCGGAGAGCTCGCGTGTGCGCACACCGCGGCCTTTCTTTCAACCTCACCGTTCGATATCGAGAATTTCACGGAATCGTTGGCCGACAGCGTCGGCGCACAGGTGGTTCAAAATGAATAATTAGAGGGACAAAAATCAAAAAAAATGAACGATAAAATTAAAACATTTCTAGCAATTACTTATAAACTAGACACCTTTGCTAACAAACAAATTTCTAGAACCGTTACGAAACAGCTTGCATAAAACAGAAGATCATAAACAGAAGATCGGATTTTTAATCTTAATCTTATTTGGATCAGTTATTAAATTTAATTAAACAATAGAAACATTCTGTCAATTTTTTCCTACATGTATTTTAAAATATCTTAATACCTCGCCAACCGCGCGCGCCATAGCTAACTCTGAACGCTTTCCACTCCGCACTTTTTTCAAATTACGCAGACTAATCTTCAAGGACACAAAGAACACATAAAACTGATTTTAACCGAAATTATATATTTGATGGCAATGTACTATATACGCTATATACGCACAGTTTATATAACACATGAAATTAAAAATAAAGAACATAATTAAACCTTCAAACTTCAAAGTGCAGAGATTTCCCCACTCGGTCGGCAAAGTGTTAAGTTTGTAAAGGCGGCAAAAAACTTTCGTACGCATTTTTTTATTTTTTTTTTTCGCAAATTGGACCACTGTGCGGCGGACCGGTTACTCGGAACCTCATGAAAACTGTCAGCCGCTAAACTGCGATCCGCCGAGCCGAAGGTAAATCGCGATCGGTGGCTATTTGCAATCTTTGGAACGTGCCGCCCATAACGGCGTGTAGCCCTTTCGTAGCGGGGGGGTGCGGATGGGATGCCAAGGGGTGGTGGCATGTACGCTATGTCTGAGAAAAATTCGAAATTGATTTATCGATGGGCCGCTGATTGAAAAATCGCTCTACGAAACCGACAGTATCAAGCGTTGGCGGCCAAAGCGCCGCTTGAAATTCATGAATTCCGTCATATCTATAACCAATTAGGTCACACACGCTGCACAGGAGCCGCCACAGACTGCCAGCCGGTCCCGGCGGCCGAGAACTTTAATGAAAGCGTTTCAAAATTCACCGGACGTTCCGTTCTTTATCGAGGCAATTAGAATTCCTATGCGGCCTGCATAAACTATCGAATACACTCGCCGACTGGATTACTAGAATGTTAGTTAACCGCGACTGAGCGCAGCGTGCTATCACGTTCGATGACGACGACGACGACGACGACGTCGACGACGACGACGACGGCGATTGATTTCAGCGGCACACGAGACAAGAGGGAGGGGGGAGGGGGGAGGGGAGAAGACGGGTCTGTAACTGGCGCGGAAAAATAACCCGCTCGTTTCATTTCCCTCGCAACAACGACAGAAATGCAGTACGTGTGTGTGTGTGTGTGCGCGTGTATATACATGTGTGCGTATATACGTATGTATAGGTGGACTGCGCGGGAGTTCATTGAAGGTTTAGTCGCAGAATCCCCCGACTAAATGTGCCCCAAGATGCGCAAAGACAGGTCTGGACCGGCTGGACCACGCGAACAGTGGAGCATATAAAAATTTTATATTAAACGGTGACCCACTTACCCGTATCGTATCCGGTAAATTTCTCGGACCAAAGTCTCACGGGGAATGAGGGAAAATTTACTCGGAACGACGACGGAAGTACCGTCTGCTCGGAATCACGAGAGTGAATATTTAACTCGAGCTATAAGACCGCGGGGTATACATCAGATTCGCTGTTCGATTTCGCGCGAAAATATTCAATCGACGATCCAGAGATTCACTCGTTATGAATAAAGCAATCGCGTCCCACCTTCCGCGAGCGCAATCGGAGGAGACTCGGAGGAGTCGAGAGGCCGCTCTAAAGATGTTTCAGAGCAAAACCTCTCACTTCAACAGAGAGCGGGCGCTCACTCCGAGCGGTAATGAAAATACTGCCGTCTCTCAGGATCACAGGAATGAATGTTTAACTCAGACGTGTACGGTGGACTCTTAATCTTAATGCGAATGAATGTTTCAATCGATTAGAGGGCGAGTTCGTACCCGGCGACATGGAGGGCGACTGTACACATTCGTTCCTCGAGATCTCAAGTGAAAATACTCTCGCGATCTGATTCAGCGCGGCAAAATTCTCTCGATGTGAGCGAGAAAGTCGGCCGATCTCTCTGTCACTCCGCTTGCCGAGAGAGAGCGGAATTTCGTTCCGAGAGTAGACATGAGAGAGTTCCGTGGATACGCGATAAGCAACGACGAGACGACTCGCTGATTCATCGTCAATCGACAGTCGTCCCGTCACGTCCCGCCACCGACATGTCGCTCGCGTGTAACCTCCCGCGAACTAATAATTAGCTATAACATAGCGCGCCGCCACCGTGAGTCGCGCGTCTCGCGCGACGGCGCGCTTGTTGTTTCGCATAATACGATAAGCCAAATAAGCGGTATTACCTCATTAAGTATGCATTACCCTAACAAGGCGAGTGTACATACAACGAGGTAGGCAGTGCATAACCGCGCGCGCGAGAACGACACGCTGGCGGAGCTCCTCTTTCTTCGAGGGCTCCTCCGCGCGTCAATAACTATCGCGTATCGTCAATTATCGCGACGCTTAAGATCCATCGGCGGAAATATCGCGCGCGCGCGCGCGCGTCTATTGTGCAAACTCTCACCTGATGCCACCGCGAGTCGTGTCGTAATTCAGCGTACGGGTGCCGTGCCGCCACGTTACGTAGCCGGTAGGCTGCGGTATATTGCTGACTACACACTTCAGCTCTATTGTGCTGCCTGCTTTGTAGAACTTGTCACCGGCCGTGGCGCCATGCTCATCGACTATTTCCACCTTCGGCACTGCAATGGAAATTAATTAATTCGCAGCGGTCCGCCTCTTTTGCACGCAGAGCGCGCGCCTCGCACCTGTGGATGCTTCAGCTTCAGAAGCTGAAGAATCCGTTCGATGAGGAAAGAAAAATCAGCCGAGCGACTCGAGCGCGCGTTGGATTCTCATCAAGCGACAAGCGGCGGCGAGGTGTCGTCTGCACGCGAGGTAAAGATTGCGATACCCCGTGTGTCGTCGCGTCATCGAGTAACGAAGCGACGATTGGAGAAAAATGCGTGTCCCTCTCACGCGTCGACGAGCGAACGCGGATTCCGGCGAATCAGACGACGAAATAAACGCCCCGCCGATAATGGATTGAGCGAGCGTTAGACTCGAGATCAAAGTGGCGCGGCGTCATTGAACGTGCGAGCAAATGAGGCTTCGGGATCGAACAGAGGGGAGCATTAGTTGCGGTTCCCGGTCGCGCTTAATTACTGTCGTAAAGCAACGGGGAAACGTTGCCTTTCCTTTTAGTGGCCCCGTACCTCGTTTTTCGATCGCGCAATGACGTATCCGCGCGCGCGCGCGCGCGCGGCCGACTCGCACACCACGGAAATTTACTTCGTTTACGGACCCTTCTAGCGTAACCGACGTGTACACGCACGTACGCGCGTACTCTGCTCGTCTCGGGCGGACACGCGAGTGAAAGGCGAAGGGAGAATAATAGTGTCGTCACGAATCTTTGTCGGCGTCGTGTCTGACCTGCCGAGTCCATTCGCGAGATGTTCCCGCTCGCTCGCAGACGCGCTTCTCATGTAGATTAACAGCGCGCGATACGGACGCGATAAGTGCACGATTAATCGCGTCCGCCGCGTCTCAAGTGCGGCGCCACGGAGATAAGCGCTTCGGCAAGCAGCCGGCGATGTGACTTATCTACCATCAAGCGCACAACGGAGTCCCGGCCGGCCCGAGACAGCATCCGTCCACAGCTGGATGCAAAACACGGGGGGGGGAGGGGGGGAGGGAGTGACTCCCGGTGGGATCGCGGCCGGGGAATGGGAGAGACGGCCGTTCTTTCTTATTACGCTTTTCGCCGAGCGATACTGTGCCAATACCGGAGGAGAATGAGGAAGAAAGAAAGAGCGAATGCAACGGCAGCAGGAGGAGGAGGAGATGCTGGAGGAGCGGATGAAAGAGAGAGAGAGAGAGAGAGAACACAAAACGGGAAACAAGAGCGATGAAAAAAATACAGAGAAAAGGCAGAAATAACGGGGTGAGACAATTGCCGCGAGGAGAACGAGCGAACCAACTATAAATACGAGACGAACAATTGGGGAGAAGCCTTTTGGCCTCGTGGCGCCAGCTAATCAAAGCCTTGGCGGCAGGACTCTCCGCGCGTCGCTCTCCCGCTCTCGCGTTCTGCTGAAACTGGCGTTCAAACAATACCTAACAGCGACAAACTTTTGAAACGTCCATTTGAGAAAAAAACTCCATTTGCACCCAAATGAAGGCCACTGACTGGCCCCGCGCGCGCGCGCGTCAGTCTGACTGTCACTTCCTTTCTCGTGCACGATTCAGCGTTCCGCACGAACCTTGTCGCTCCTATTCAATCTGTGCCACTCGGACAACACGCGCGCATTGTTATATAGCACCGGTCGGCCGGCCGGGCGGGCGAGCGAGCGAGCGAGCGACGACGCATCTACGCGTTAACTATCCGTCATTGTGTCCGTCGTCATTACCAACCACTTTCCTACCTTTTTCCACCGTGAAGCGAAGCTCGTCCGCTACGTCCGCCCGGAGCAGGGAAACACAGCCACGCTCTCTCCCCCCGTGCCCCTCCCTCAGCCCTCGGCGTCCACCCCAACAGTCAAAGCAGCCCGAAACGACCAAGGGCGACGTTTGGCCGGGATTTTTTCGGCCGACGGAGACATGAGCGCGCGCTCAGCCAACTCGGCCCGATTTTTATTCACTTTTGCTTCTCTATTTATCGAGTTACCAGCGCGGGGCGGTCTCCCTTGCGGCCGGTGTACACCGGATATATCCTTTGAGGCTGGCTTGCAGCGTGCATCCTTTGAGAGTTGCTTTCTTTCGCGTGACTCGCGATGTCGCCACATGCGACCCCCCCCATCTCTCTCTCTCTCTCTCTCTCTCTCTCTCTCTGGCTCTCCTCTTTTTCTCTCTTCGTCCTTTTGGCCCTCCGTCTTCACCTGGCCCGCGCTTCTTACGCGAAGCAAAAAGCGGATATTTGTGGCGAACTCTTTCCGTCTCGACGCTTTTAACCCGCGTACATTCCCGTCGACGGGTCACGTCAAAGAGACAGAAGGAAAGAAATTTAGCTTGAATCAAAGGGAGGAATGTATTCGGACAGTGGGACGGACGCGCGGATATGACGCGAATTCTTTTATTTACGAATTCAATGGCGGCTTTGAGACGACACGCTATATCGCTCGTCGTCGTGTGCGCGCGCGCATGCTGCGCAGCGAATAACGTCATCAATCTCTCCGCGGGCAGACAATACGCCCGCTCCCGCGCCCAACTTTCGATTTGTAACTTAAACTACGTACTAATTGCCCGTGACTCGCAACCGCGAACGTTAACACACGTGCTGCGAAACTTGCCCGTAAAAAATAAACGTACGTCCCGACAAATGGGAAACATCGCCGTGCATTCGCCCGCGGCTACGCGACGCTCCGCTTCCAGCGATATAATTACGCCGCCTGTTCCATCACGCTCTAACGCAGAGTCGCGGATTGATAGAACGGCACGGACGGAGAGAGAGAGAGAGAGAGAGGGAGGGGGGAAAGGGGAGATTTCGGATAACCTGATTCGCTGTCGCGGAACAAGCGTAACTGGAAATAAAGTCGCGGTGATTCTCGCGCGTTGGGCCGCTCGGTAAAATCCCCGAAATCAATGCGATGACGCGCCAGATAGTCGGTCGCTCTCATAGCGCATAACTCGAAATCAAAGACTCGCAGCGCTTTGTGCGCGCGATCGGTGCGCGATTGCGCGGCAATGAGATTAACGCTACGTTTCGCGAGCATTTCGGCGGGATGTCCTCCCTCTGTATTGTCGTATCCCGGGGGCGCGCCTCTTGTGCGCCCGCAAACCGGTCGCGTGCAATTACAAGCAGGTACTTTGAACACGAGACCCATCGTTGGTACGTGGTCGTTATTGTGAGTCGTACGGGACACGCCCGGCAAAATTACTACGAGCGGGTTAGCGTAGACGCGTTCGCGGCCGAAGAAATCAAAGAGGGAAAGGAAAAAGAGCAAGAAGGGAGGAGGGAAGCGAAGGGATTCGTTGCGCGGGCAAAAGCAAGCCGGAGTTGCGGAGCGTGAGCTAGTTCGACGGGAAACTGGAGATGTATCAAGAATTCCTGCAGGGAGACCGCAGCGAGCAACCAATCTGAAGTTTACTTGTCTAACTTCTACCCTCTCTCCCGCTACGAACGCTACACGCGCGTGCGTCCTTGGTCCGTTGTGCAGTCGTCGAGTACATCCCTCATGCCGCGTGTCGAATAGCCTATCGGAAATGAACGAGCCGCTATGGCGATTTAAGACGCCGCCGCTCGAGCGGACGGCGACGTCCGCGCGAGTGCAAGCACCTTCCGCGCGAACCGAGCGGAAAATCACCGGCGGTGGAGCTTCGATAAAGCGCGGATTATTGATAAAGATTCAATTAACGGGACAATTAATTGGGATCTCTTCCAGGACAATTTCCTCGGCAACTTTGAAAAATCGCCGGGGATCCACAATGTTTCAGTTCTACATCAAGTCAGAGCAAGAGGGAACAGAGAGGGAAAGGGGGAAGCAGCCCCGGAGAGAACGGGTGAGTTCACGACACTCAACGGTTAAGCAACCGTTGAGAAGAATTCTCGTCAATATTATTGATCTGAATGTAAAGATCTAACAGTAAGGACCGAATAGTCTCTCTAATCGCTCACTGAGCGCTGAGAGAGATCTCCGCTGAACGCAACGAATGTGACAATTATTCTGACAAATCGTCCAACGCGAGACGCCTTCGCCACTTTGTCAGTCAGATCGCAGGCCGAGAGATTTAATCGCATATTTAAATGATAGATAATTATAACGCAAAACGCGCGCGTGCATGTGTCACGCGGCGCGCACACGTCACTCATCGGTCTCGCGGCGCATCCGAAAAATACTCACGTAGGAAGTCCTCTCTCTCTCTCTCCCTCTCTCTCTCTCTCTCTCTCTCTTTCTCCGCCGTCAGCGAACTGAATGACAGGCGGTGTGACGTCGCGCGACCTCGAACATGAATTTAGGCTCGCGGCGGGAACGCGCGCGCGCGCATCCCGACGATCTACACACGTGTCCCCCGGGGGAAGACACGGGGGTCGCGCGCATATGTACGCGCAACCCGGGGTCACGCCTGTATGCATATGCATCTCCGGACTCCCGCGCAAGCAGCGAGATCGTGAGCAATATGCATGGGAATCACGTTGTTGATGTATGAGTGGAGCGACGCCCGTACACGCGGCATATGTCGCCGCGCTGCGCATCGCGCGTTATACTTTCCGACCTCGAGCAACACACACACACACACACACACACACACACATGTCCCGTCGCCGCCCCCTCACCAGCCACCACCCATGGTAGTCTTACGAGCCACTATTTTCGCATAGAGGGAAACATTCCTGCCGCATTTTACAACGGGGATAAACCACCGTTATTCTCCCTCGGTCTCCTTCACTCTCTCTCCTTCTCCCATTCTCTCCCTGCCTCTCGGCCGTTCATGAACGATAGTAGCGGCGGCGGCGGCGAACCGACCGCAACGCCCGAAAGTAATCCTCTCCACCTTCTCGTTGTTGTTGTCCCCCCTGCGTCTGCCGGCGCCCGCCGCCGTCTCCCGCAACTATGCGACTAGCTTCTCTCTCTCTCTCTCTCTCTCTCTCTTTCTTCCTAGCCAGCTAGCGGCGATCATCTACCGTACCATAGCTACCCGGCTACCTTTTTCTTCCGTTTCCTCCCCATTCACTTGTCTCTTTGCCAACGTACACTCGTCGCTC